ACGTTAGTACGGACTAGTGGACTATTGGGACCCATGAAGAACTGAAAAACGTTTCAGTCTGCATCTGATACCTGTCGAAAACACATGGTCACAATTTTATAGAAGGGATCTGTTCACGAATATCGAAATGTGAAGAATGCGGACGAATTACTATATTGCAATACTATGGATAACACTCTTCCCGAATTTTGTCACTTTGTAACACTTCGCTTCACATCAGCGTTAACCAACAGTTCCCACCACTTCTAACTCAAATGACAGCGAATAATACGGTTTCCCGAAGAAACCCATCATGAAATTAATTATAGACAATGACTGATATTCACTGACACTACCAGAGGACGGTAGTAGCTTGCGACGAATCGACAAAGGCGGAAGGATGTAAGCTGATGAGTAGGTAGCAATATGTTTGACTAAAATTTTGAAAATAGGTACTTGAATCCTGTTGTAGGCCATAGATTTGCATTGAGAAATAAGAGAGAAATAAGTCTCAGTGATCCACAATTATCAATAAATGAAACTGTGACTCAATGGGCTACACAGTCGACTTTTAACCGACAGCTGGCTAACTTAAACCATATTTGATTTACAGAGATTTGGGTGACCAGATATTATTACAGAAGTCCACCATATTTGTGACAAGTTCTCTAGTACACACAAGAGTATGGTGTCATGTATGTTGGACATTGTTGCAGCTTTCGAGTTGTTGAAGATAGTTTTTACGAAAATGTACTTATGATATGTTTAGGAGCTAGAAATAAATCTAATCCCAATTCATACGCATCAATTTGTTTGTTTCTTTTTTGAAATTTTACTTCTTTGGCTTTCGACTGGAAAATAGGACTTCAAGCTTCAGCTCTGAAGTTTCAGTAGCGCTGGTGTTGTTTTCACAGGATTGGGTTGCTGGCCTCGTTCTCAACCTCCCTTTTTACCGACCTTACCGTCGGCTTAGCGAGATTTAGGAGTGCGTCAGCCGGGAATCGAACCCCGGACAAAGTGCGTAGTTGGCGAGTACTCCATTGCTGAACCACCGATGCACAAAAAATGTCGGAAACACCCGGTATTTTCAGCCGGTCACCCATGCAAGTACTAACCGAGCTTACCGTTGCTTAACTTGCGTTTACAATATAGTATGGTCGCCAACCATATACATCATATAAAAGTTAAAATGCACCATATATGATATCATAAGCAGAAAAAGTCGCTATGCATAAACAAATCACATCGTTCATGCTACTTAAACGCATGAGAAGCTTCAAATAAAGCAAACCAAAGAATGTGATAATAAAATGTTAAATTTCTTTATAACAGAAGTGAAACAAATCAACACACTGCTTACAACGAATATTATTTCGTGTGATTCGTATCAACGCCACATCAATATCAGAGCGCGGAAAACCCTCGTCATCAACCAATGGAGTATCAAGTCCAACATCTCCATTCTGGTTAAATAGTCAACAACAGGAGAAAATGGAAAAAAATTTATTCGAATAGGTTAGAAAAAATATGAGAATAAAAATTATATTCCTTATTTTATGAAAATGTTCAGCTTCTAAAGTCTGCGAGGCTATCTAGTTTGGAACTTTTCAGCAGTACACACCCATGACCCTAAAGGGGATCAAAACCAGGATCTTCGGGTGACCAGGCCGCTGAATGATTGAAACTATAACGAGAGAGCTGTTCAGTACTCACTCTGCAGATAGGTTCCTTCTTTCATTGCTCAAACTAATCAAGGGGATCAGTTATATGGAAATGTACCTTGTGTTTAGTGATCGATTTACTTCTTAATCACAAAGTAGTTATATCAACCGCTCAGTTATCTACTGTTTGCTAAATATGCGGCATAATATCAATGCGAAAAACGAATCTAAAATGAATGACAAACAGTATGGCTCCATTTTACTCAGGGTCACAGAAATTGCTTTTACCGAAAGGTTAAAAGCTTGATCCCTGTATATTCCAAAAGGACTGAGTAGTCTACTATCAAACTCCCTTAATAAAAGACTTAAATATTTTTCGTTTCTAACTCTCATATCTATCCATTTTCCTGTCTGTCTAAATCAATAGTAATTATTACCGAAGTGCATTCATTTTTGTTTGCAGCATGTAAAGACAGATGTAGTTATCACATCAACAGACTTGGACCCGTCTTAGAACTCAGCTTTTCAAAAAACTTTATTTTCTAAAGTCACATAAGACAAAAACACGTATGAATTGATTTTTAAACAATAAACAGTGCTCACCTGATGAAGGACTTCACTTAGTTCAGCTAGTCTCTTCTCAATCTTAATTTTCTCATTTACTAAAGTATCATACCTAGACTTAATGACATCATATTTCGCAGAATTTGGATCAGCCGCCTATAAATGTTAAACAAACATTATTTAAAATAAGTGAAACAATAGTAAATCAAAGGTAGATTTCTGTATAAATTTATCACTTAGGCGTAATTTTTGAAGTGTACTGTCCACGTAAAGATTGTTAACGAACGGGCCTTGAATAATTTCTACCATCCTCCATTGAAGTATGCTTAATAAGAAATGAATCCGTAATCGAAAGTGCTAATCAGAGATAAATAATCAATGCTACTGTACTGTATGAATTAATTCAAGCACGAAATCCAAATGGTACCCAACACATTTACAACAATAGGCTTTAAGTGGCTGTCGATGCATGCCAAAGATAATTATAAAAGCTTAACTAGAAGTTTGACTAATTGAAAAGTATGCTTCCGTTTATCTCCCGTTTGAACCTCTGTTTACTCTCTTCCCTTGCTTTTTGTACTAACTACATAGTGTGGCAACTAGAACTGCTGCACTTCTGTGCAAAGTTCTATGATGAAACCATTCAGTCAGTCAGTCAGTCAGTCAGAAAAGTATACTGAAAAGCTTTCTATCTAATATGCCGGTTCTTTCAATTTTCATATTTATTGTAGAATGATAATCAAAAAAAAAATGACAGTCACTGAAATAAGTCCATACTAAGGAGAACTCATGCGAATGAATTTGTTAACATTTTCTTCAGGCAAAATTAAATGCTGAACAGACAAAATCTGAGATAGCCTTGAATCGACAGTCTGCTATTGATGTAATGAGCATTAACTGTGGTGATTAAAGTGAAATTCTGACCTAGGTAGCAGTTGGGTGTCGTAACTCAGGTGATTGAGCACCAGCCATTTATTTCAAAGGTCGCTGCTTTTGACATTCTGCTCTTATCTAGATTCTTATTTTACATCCAATCGTCATCCATTATAAAAGTATATTAATGTAGTTTGAATAACTTTAAATGTATAGAATTCATCAGAGAATCTCTGAATCTAGAACACTCATGGTAAATTCGTTATGCCTTCGACTCAATGTTATTTTAGGTTTTCATTGACAATAGGCCACAATTTCAAATCTACAGCACCTATATGTAGCACGAAAAATTTTAAGGTCATTTTGGCCTACATTTTCACTGGATCCCTACCATAAAGAAAGACTAGATATTACAGGTCTAAAACTTATTGTCAGAACTTACTGAATAAACTTATTTGATAGGCTACATGTAGAACAATGAAGTTTACATGTCAACCATATTCTTAAAATTAATAACTAGAGGATCAATGGACTTAAATGGCCTAAACGCAGTTATGAGTTAATATAAATCAATTCAAACTTATATTAATTTACCAAGTCCACCTTAGTAAAATGACTAGCCCTCCTTATTAGTACGAATGTATCATTTGCATAAACGTGAATCACCTTATTACGAGTGACTAAATATTTTTCGATCGAACCAGTCTGTTTTACATGTCAATGCCAAATAACTCGATGCCAATAATACTGACTTGTTACTTAGGAAGTAGATTTGATCCTCTACCCAAATCATTAATAATTGTAAGTTCAGACAAAATACTTGCTTACTTACTACATTACGAGGCTAAACTGATTCTATAATAATTGAATGGAAGTGATGAAAAAATCTCAGTCACAGGAGATGAACTGCTGTCCTGTCAGTTAAGATAATGATATCCAGTTGCTAAATATGTGGCATAATAGCCATACGAAAAACAAATATAAAACTACAAAACAGTATGGCTTGATCTCACTCAGGATCATGAATTGTGCCCAGATGTCGTGTGAATGAATGATGAGCCTCGTAGCTCAGCTAGTAAAGCATCCATTTATTAGACCAGAAGCTACCAGCTCAAGTTTTACCATCATTGATTTCACCTTCGGTAACCACCCCATCACAAATAGAGTAGCTTTATCAGTTAAACTTATCCTTTATGAATGAAATCACTAACGACTGAACGTGCTGTAGCAGTAAATGACGTCTGCATGCAAAAATAAACAAGAGTCTTTAGAGCAGAACTTACAAAACTTCGGGAAACTTCAAAATAGACAATAAAGTCAAAATTTTTAGTGTTTTACACAAATTATAAAGTAATAGACGGCACTAGGTTAAGGCTCTTATAATATATTCACTGTACGACTTTTAAGATAGACTTTTTTTACATCAAAATAGACACATACGACTCCAAAGTCAAACTTATAACTAAATACATGGTTACGTAATAAGTCATCACCCTAATAAACTAAGCTAGTAGGACAATAATGCATTTGAAAGGATCAATACACTTAAAGGATCAGATACACTTTAAGCGATAAATGTAGGAGTTTAACGTGTACAAGAGAATCTGAAGCGATAACTCAGCCTGACAGACTGCCGTCGTTGTAACAGATTGATAACTAAACTAAAAAAACTAAACTCCTGGAGGATTAGATCCGTTACCTTGCAGTAACTGCCATGAAGGTTAAAAGAAGAGCAAATAATAATTATTCTGTCGTGCTGTCATGAAGGAAAGCAATTTACAAGAAAACAACAAGCAAAATTAAAGGGAAAAAGCCTCTAACACATGTGTATAAATATAGCTTTATTTACATCTTTTTAACATTTGAGATTAAATGACTGAGACAAATATATTTACAAGATTTGAGTGTGTTTATATATTATGCTTAGAATGGGGCAATGAAAGTAAGATTGGTTAAAGCATCGCATATAATCTTGGGGTCGGGAACTTTTGAAAATGGCTCCAATTCACCAGCTAAAGCAATTAATGGGACCAAACATGTTAAAAGCCCGTCAAGGAGTAAGGATTCTACGCCAACTGGGTCGACTGGTCCCTATGCGAGAAAACAAAAAAGAGCAATTACCAAATCCCCTGTACATAAATAAACAGCAAATTTATTTTAAAGAAAGCATAGTTTCCTGAATGTGAAAGAACGCACAACAAAAGCTGGTTGACTAGGAATTCTCATCACGAGACCTAGTGACCTGAACAGTAATAACCTGAATCTATTTGCATTGAGTATGCCTGGTTGATGTACTGATACGCAATCAAACAGAAAACAATAATAGGTGAAGTGCTGAAAAATTTCTTCAAAACAATATTTTCTCTGTAATTATCATTTTGTGTTATAAACATCTGAATTACACAGAAACCTTAATATTCTTAAAAAGAATACTCAAATAATTCCTAGTATTACCTCATAATCACTAACGTTCTTAGCAAATACTGCAAACCGATCGCTTAGCAACTGGAAGTGAGCAGCTAAATCAAGTAGACTGTAAGATGTTGTTTGAGTACGACTCAATTGAACTTCCAAACGATCACGTTCTTTTAATTTTCGATCTTCTGCGACAGTTTCACGTTTTCCGTGTTGTTCAATTTGTTTTAGTAGACGCCTTGCCTTGTTTTTCCATTCACGTTTAACTTTCTCTGGCATTGTCAGCCATAAAGCCTTAAAGCAAAGCAGAGATGAAATGTTATTAGTAAATCTTTGACAATCGATACTGAACAATGAATTAATCTTTTGCAAATCAATAGGTTGCTGAACAAAATCAGGAGTGATTAGTTAGATATTCATTATATTCACTGTTTAACCAAAGTAATCAATAATTACACAGATGGTTGACGAAAAAGGTTGGGAGTCAGCGTGAAAAAAATGCTTAGAAGTAAAACAAAAGCAAGAGAACAATGTATGGTAACGAGAAACTAATATCAGATTTACTTCAAAGTTTTGAAAACGCTAATATGATGTGATGCAATAAGTGAAATTTTCTTAACTGAATAGCGATTTTCAATTAGTCGAACAAACCATTTAGAAGCACTCTAAACAGACATTCCGTATCACCCTATGAAATCGATGAATTCATTTCGTGGTTAAAATGGTGCATTTTAGTACAAATGGAAATTACATACGGAAAGGCGACTCATTCTTCAAGGAATTCACTTAATAAGTATTTTACTAACATAATCAGCTGACACTTAGAATGCATGACTACAACATGAAAATCGTATTTTCTGGTTGATCCCAACCAACCATGCCTTACAGTAGTACATCCTATAAATTAACACTACCTAGTCCTCTTTCAAACAAATTCTACTTCCATGGTATAAAGTCGCTCAATTTTACTTAAAAATGTTTGCGTCACAGAGCAAAGATGTAATACTTTAGTGCGAAATGTGTAATGTGTAGTTACTTAGCAAGTCCACCTAAACTATATTCACCAATTCCTGCTAGATTATATCCAGTGGGTAATTTCTACAATTCGAGAACTGTGTTATTATGAGCATAAAACATTATTTCGTTGGCTTTTTGATGGACTTCGGCTCTTCATTACTCCTCTACCTACTACTTTCTTTTACCAATTCAAACGTTTTTCAATGCTGCGATGAAAACAACAACAATTTTATAGATTGCCTTTCCGAATCTGTATTAATCAATTTTAGTTACATGTGTACATCACTATATCTCAACTGAAAGCGGCTGAAGAACGGTGCTCTGATTCTTACATGATCATTCAGATTCCTTTACTACCTATTACACTAGCTGAAATGGGTTTTTTCAATAGATTTCAGCTTCCAGGAAGCCATCAGACATCTTTTGACCGAATGCACTAGTTAAACAATATGACGTTACAATGCATCTTAATTTGGTATTAAACATTTGCGGTCGGTTGATAGGAATTCCTCGACCTAAGGTTTCATTCCGGCTCACGTCTAAGTTACTAAACTCAGTTACTTGATTAAGCACAAAACTTTGGCACCTCTCCTACCACAATTCCAATGCGTTTAAGTAAATTGTCCGTGCATAAAAAGATACTGAAGAGATTTTGAAAATTATTTTAAGTAGAGACTATATGTATGTTTAAAAGCGAACCAATGCGTTCTGCAAAGTAACTCAATAAGGGATTCTACATATTGTAAGGCAGTTTAGAATAGATGATTTTCTAATTAAAAGTAACTCCACTGTCTCCTCAAGAGGATTAAAGCAGTCTAAGAAATCACAGTCTTGTCTCCTTAACGGATACCAATAATATGTAAAAAGAAGGTGGTCATCAAACTACTTCTTAAACTGTATAATTTATTTGTAAAATCAGGTTTATAATATAACTCAAACATATTACACACTACACCTAAAGATTTTCTTGACTGATCACAAAAACACGTGAAAACTGCAAATAAGTCATGATAAAATCCATATTGAAATTAACAAAATCCCCACAAACTCAACAGTGAAAATGTTAACAAACCTGCCATCTATGATTCGATGACTTCTGATTTTCCTTTCCTGTACCCACACTACTTGGATTGTTATCAGTAGCATCGTTTGCATCATCCACTAGTGCAACTCCCGGAGAAGAACCATACTTTTTCTTATTTACATGAACAAACAAAGAGTAACCATTCAGACGTCTGTAGTGTTTTAATTCCTTGAAGTGAATATCAATTAGACAAAAGCTGACTAGAAATTTATTTAGAAAATTTTTAACACTATTTTATACTGATGAAGTAAAATTCATAATCTTATAAGGTTTACAATGAAAACATATGAGTTATATGATTCATGTTTACGATCAGATTTTACTACAACAATCTAAAAGCCGCATGTTTCGACGTATTCCACTACTTTTGATGTAGTTGTGTTTTCTGAGCTGGACAGTTTATTTGCGCTGCTGCTTCCCCGTCGCTTTTTGTAACGCGTAGTTAAAAAAAAAACAGTAAAAAGTGAACCCAATTCCCTGAAGAATAACGTCTTTAAAAAGATAAAGAGTGATCAATCTAACACTAAATTCTCTCGGACAGTAAAACAACACGAAAATGAGCTATTTTCTATTTTAATAAAATAATTAAGGTTTTCTTTTTACCTGTACAGAAAACAAAAGCACTTCGATTAGGTTATAAATCATTTCACTTTTATTTTTACTTTGGCTATCAATATTCCTTCCAGTTAACGTTACTTTTGTTATTAATTAGTGTTCCTTCATAACGGTAGTGTGTCGGTGGCACAACAGTAGAATGCTCGCAAACCACGCCACAGGTGGTTCGGGGTTCGATCACCGGCTGGTAAAAGAGGGAAGGTTAGGCATGAGGCTAGCAACCCCATCCCGTAAAAATAAAGCCACTGCTACCGAAACTTTAGGCCTCTAGCTTGAAGCCCTATGTTCCACTCGAAATGTAAAGGAATAAAAGAAATTATAACGGCTGCCTATGACTCTAGTCCCCTAAAATGGTGCTTTTAGTAACGCATAAAAAGAATTAACATTGAGTTTATACACATCCAATGACCATTCTTCATTAGAAGGATATCTCACTACGAGACGTGATACAGATCGTTTCTACGACGCATACGTGGAACCAACTGTGGTAACTAAAACTCATTTGGTCAATAAGGCTGACATATGCAATAATAGAAGGATTTGAGCATAAAAACTACCTCTCACAGTAACTTCGTTTTTGAAACATGAATTCGCTTCCAAAACAACGAAAGATAGTGAACGATTTGGTAATGGATAACACCAAACCAGAAATGAGGACAGGTACACTGTATTATTACTAAATATGACCAGAGAGATGAGGAGAAAAAACCTAATTCTCTTAAATTACGCCCTCAGAAACGCATCCGGGTGAATATACACCTACAGACAACAGGCTTTCATATAACATATAACACGTTTTGTAAACGAACTGAATCCTAGATAGACAAATGGACGCAAATATAAATAAAGTTGAGGCACTGCCATTCATTCTTATTTAAAATCCCTTAATCATGGGATCGTGTGTGGGCACGAACACCCAGACCAGAAGTCCTTCAACATTTAAAAAAGGTCGGCTACTCAGCGTTTGGCGACTGCTACAACAATAAATAAAATAACTCGTTTTAACCTACTAATCATAAATGTTATAGAATCTTTGGATTCCTTCGTTACACAAAGAGAAGAGGAAAAATTAAAACAAACCTCAAAATCGATGTCATTTATTCCTGCACTACTTTTCATTCGACCAGCAGTTGCTACAGATGCAGAATTAGCTGTTGTTGTTGTTGTTGCTTCTTCATTATTTTCCTCATTAATAGTTGGCAGTCCACTCGAGTTATTATTTGCTGTCAACTTGTCCGTTTCAAATGAAGCGAAACCATCTACGTGAATATATATATATATATAAAATAAATGTAAATAATAATGAAAAACAGTAAAGTTTGTTTTTCTGTTAAAAATGTCTGTATTCTTAGAAATTTCTGAAATCATAACTTACTTACCATGTGTATGCTTAAACACTTAAGGGTCACTTGGTAAACCACAATACGAAACTTATTGAAACAATGACAAGTGACAAACACTCTGAGTAGAACTTCATTCATAACATGACACATAAATAGGACATTTGAATCCATACATATAGAGGATTGTGGGATAGAGACATAGGCTAATAGTAAGTTGAACATAATTCAATAGCTATGTACTTGTGGATGTGTGAGTGCGCTAAGAGTTAGGATACCTCGATTCTGTGAAACTCAGGGTTAATCTATATCAAATCAACCTTCATAAATAAGCAAAGTTAGATACTTGTGCAACTCGGCTATAGCTCTTTTAATTGTGATTTACCGCTTTATATAAGCTGCTAAAATAATTTTTTAAAGAATCAATATAATGATCTACTGAACATGTGAGTACATAAATACGAATTACTGTAAAATCTTGCACAGATAAGAATCATATAAAACTGCTGTAATCTGCAACAGTAAATAAAACGGAGTCAGCAGAATGACACTGGTACTAATTAAAACGGAAAAGCAAAGGGAAATATTAAGTAGTTGACGACAGTATGCAATGACAAAAGTACTCCAACAAACAGAACACAAACTGGAGGTCAAGTGCTAAACCACAACCCCCCAGGTACCTCTAAATCCGAAAACCTACCTACTTGCCCGAATAAGCCGTCGGGTTTAAAGTATCAATATAATAAGTCCTTTTGCACTAACTCACCAAAAAATATCAACTAAGAAGTCTTAACCACTATCTCTATTATATATGCCAACACGTGAAAAACCCACGACCAGCATCTGATATCGTGATGTAGTGCTAAGGTTGGTTTGTATCAGTGATCCGACGAGCTATGCTTGCTGGAAACAAGGTTCCTGCAGGTTATATCATACTACAAATGTTGTTTGAGCTGTTAGACTAAGACCAGTGACCATCACAATGTAACTCACATTATGCTGGGAACTTGAGGGCGAAACCGTACTGCTGACAAATAACCGCGTGACAACACGAAAATGTTCCGCTTGGATGAACAACTGTAATGCTTCTCCGCCCTGGGGATTGTGGTTAATAAAGGTAGACCCAAAAATTATAAGTCCTCACTCATACTGTGTCGGTGAGTAACCAAACACAACCCCGAGACCATCTCAAACAAGCCGTGCGACTGATTTCAAGCATTTTTCCCTGGGCTCTGAGTATCACCGATGCTCCTTCTGTTCTGTTCCAACAAAAAACATACACCAACAAAGGTGATAACGTTTTCTGGCATTAGAGATGCAATGGGTTCATTAGTCTACCTTTATTAGAGGTGAATACAGTCACTTAAAGCTCCCTGTGGTGAGAATCACTAACATTAACAAGCCTGATTAAGGTAACTTGTGAAAACATAAATGCTATAAGTAACTTTTCAATGAGCGTCTAGTAGAAAGTTGATAACTAACTCACCAAATTTAGAAATCAGGTCAAGTGGAGGAAGTAACAAATTTCCTGGAGGATGGAAAGACCGTGGGGTTAGAAGAAGTGGTTGCACTGGCTGAAAAAGATAATACAAAACTTAAGTCAGAAACTGATGCATACAAATTCTTCGCACTGAGATGACAGTTGACGCCTTGAGGTCCGTCTAGTCTATGGAAACTACCCAATGAACCGCAGTGACTGTAGATTTCCTCTGGAAGATCTATTGGGCAGTAGTAAGATTAGAGGCAGTTACACAACAGTGAAAGTTCCTAGCACTAAGGTGTGAGTGCTAGAATGTAATTTATGAGTATGATATTCCCTCAGATGAACAGTAACCCAGTTAGGTAGAAAATGTGTACCAGCATCCTAATCAAGAACACCGTATCATGTTGACCACAGCGTGCATATCATTTTTTAAAAATATTAAAAAATTTTAGAAATGATATCATACATGAAAAAAATCCTATGACATCTACAGTTTCAAGCGAAGTCCTAGCCCCACACACACACACGCACAGGCTTTCAAACGGGGATACAATAAAATGCGACAATAACTACCTAACTATGGGATCCCATACCTCCAGAAGCATTAGAAAGCTAAATTACAGATGGGAAAACCGAAATAGAAATTAAGATCCTGGTGAGTCAAGTTAGATAATTTGTTTACATACTCGGAAGGCAGTTATTTCTATACCAATGCAAGTTTACATATACACCTGATAAATCACATCAAACAAATACGGCTACCTAAATGCAATAGTATTTAAATACTCGATTCATACACTGAGAATTGAATATCCGAATTAAACTGCCACATATTTATTACTTAATAACATTGTGATAATGTTCCTGATGTAAACTGGCACCATCTATTAGGAAAATCTTAGTAGTGTATACGTACGAATCTACACCTAATCAAAGATTAAAAATCTTATTTTTCCAAGAGAGGTAAGACCACCCCAAACACTGCAATTTACAGCATCACTACCTATTAGTGAAACAGCCACTACCCAACATTAGTTGTGTGTATCTACATATTTATTTATAACTCAGTAGACTCTGAAACTGGAAAGTCTGTTACACATTTAACCACTAATACAAGGCATTTCATTATTACTGATACATATATATACATATATAGCCTCCAAAGCCTCAGGATGGTCGGGGGTGGGTGCCTTGCTCTGCGGGTTAGCCACCCCTCCGCACACCTCTTGAAATGCTCCCATATGACCGGGCGTCTTACATAGCCTCTCCTGAGGAAGTCCTACTCACTGCCTTCACGTGGCGGAGGTGTTTTTAACCAAAGTGAGAGGGCGAAAGCGGATGCCCGGCGCTCTTCACCGGGTTGACTGTCCATTGGATGACAGTCTAGGGGAGATGGCTAAACCCTGATTCCAAACCTCCAACGACTGGCGTATGAAGCTCACTGGAGCTCACCGGCAGACGTATGGACATAGGGCTTGTTGGATGTCCTGGATGTCTGTCCCCATTCAAAAAGGCGTATGAACCGAACTCCGGTCACCGGCTGCCAATGGATAGTGGACTCCCTACTCCACTCCTACTGCCTTGTAGGTCACACTTGGTTGTGTAAAGGCTAGAGCTGCACTCTCAAACAAAAGGCCGAGCGATTCTGGGGACATCACTCGTACCAAATTCCCATGAAACTTCGTGAACTCTCAGTACAGTCAAGGCTGATATGGAGTGCCTGGGGCTACAATCCGTCTACGGAATCCGTCTGCGGAACAAGAATTGGATAACCCTGTCGCAAAACCTTACATCAGATCGCCGCGCCTGGGCAGCGATGATTCGAGATGTTCATGAAGCTGGCTCATCCTCCCGTAGGAGATAGCCGTAGTAAATTATTAAATTAAATTATTATATATAGCTAAACACAGGATTGATCATTCTTCTAAAAATTATAAAACTGGTGAAAACTTTCAGCCACAGTCGATTTTACACAAGTTTGACAACAAAATACTTAAATATCCAATCACACCAAACAAAAATACATTGTATTGAACGCACTTACCTTAGCAGTATTTTTTCTCCCTGAAAATAAGTAAATATTTAAAAAAATGAAACATCAAAATCAAATACAAAGCGATTAATAACATTTGGGAGCAAACTATAAACAAAGTGAATGGGTAATATCACCATCAATCACCATGGCTTAGTCTGGGATATTGAAGATCTGTCCTGAGTACCTGAATTCAACTTGAGTATTGAACTATTCACGAATTGTCAGAATAGTTTGGTGAGCTAGAAGACTTCCATATGGAACCCAACAATCGCCCCAAACTCGTAATTACTAAAACAACTCAATCCTGAAATTTTTAACCAGTTTTTTTTAAAATAAGAAACACCGTCTTTATGTGGAGCTGGCGAATACCAACACTAGCAGTTTGCCACTTAACTGAAAAGACTACAGCTGCTAGTGACTATGTTGGATTTTAGCAATAAGACATTAGCAGCAAGATAAAAACTTTGATGTACCTGAACGCTTTGTTTGTGTCCGACCACGAGATTTAGTTGCGCGAACCTTGGGAGATGATTTTTCATCAGATGATTCACTATTACTTCCTGCATCATTAGAATTTAAGACACCTCTAGGTCTTTTAAGACTATTTTTTGTGTCCTGGTAAGTCGCATCGTTGGCAGAATATCGTTGATTTGGATTCCACATGGAAGGTGTTGACGATGGGAACGGTTTACTTCCGAAACAACTTGTAGTGAGTGCCGTATTTTGAGAATTTTCTGCTTCACTTCCTGGCTTTCCTAAGATGGGATGAATGTTCTGAGACGAAGCATCACTCAATATGCTTTGCAAGCAGCCACCGCGCCAAACTAGTTGGTTTCCTCCACTACTTTGTTTTGGAAGTAAGACGACACGCTGAGTGACTTTTTCCCCAGGATTTTCCAACAAGTTATTCCCTGAATCTTCTGGTAGCATTTTAATAATTGAGACTGCAGGGTGTGACATGTTTACGATATATCTAAAAATTAATACGAATATGAAACACGAGCAGTCGTTACATTTCTGAGACCAAAAATGGAGGTGGTACAAGCAAGTTAGTGTCGCAACCTCTTAAGTACCGCACAATTAAAACTCCCCGCAATATTGTAAGCCTAGGTCACAAATAGGCTGAACTTGTCCAGGACGTTGGTGAAAATTTTGCTTGATAAATTGTAATGATAAGCTAACATATATAGGTGGTTTTCATGATTGTTTCAGGTGCACTTAAGAAGGTAACTGCTGGTTTTATTTGCATCAAGGTATCACTTAATGTACCATTTCAGTGTATGGCATTATTATGCACATTAATTGTATTCGTCATGAGGACTACATCCAGTAGGTTCTATTGCTGTAAATCTGCTGTTTGTTATATCATTTCCACTGACACTACGCCTAATATCTATGCTTCAGTGTTCTTCATCAACAATAATGGAGATGAATTTGTTCTGAGATTCCCATTTACATGAAGCAGTACAGATATAGTGTCACGATTATCATCCTCATTAACACAATACATCTGCGTTTCTTACGAAAATTGAAGTATTTCTCTATGCCGTTAACATTGTGTATAACTGTTTACAATTGAGACCTATGCACCTTATATTTGATGGCTCTAGTTTCCTAAGTATGCAAATGTAATTTCTGAAGGGTTTACAAAACCCGTTGCGCCGAGCACTGATTAGATTTCTGAATAAATTCTAAATTGCTTTCTTTACGATAAATGTAATTGGTTTGAAGTTAATCTGCCTTTTACTTGCAAGGACTTCAAGCAATCATGATGGGAGAATAATGCCCTAACTTGGCGCGCGCTCCTTGAGTACGACGTGCTTTTTCCTCTCTAACCGTAAAACACCTATTTTGTGAACTATCCTCTTGCGAGACATGATCTCCCTGTGTGAAACACAGCAAACATAAAAGGAAACGTTCAAGACGTCATAAGACCTCGTAGGCGTCTTCAAGGAAGGGAGATAAATGCCAGGCGTGCAGTATCATTGTTTCTAAAACTGACTCAGCGTTTGAATGCAATTTTCGCAAACGATGAGTGCACCGCCGTTGTGACAAACGGGTGCCGAAAGCATATTACGATTTTATGAGGAATAACATATGCCCGCGGTTTTGGTACATCTGTCCACTTTGTCGCCGTGGCATAGTCCCACATAGCGTGTCTGCGGATAACAGAAACAACAAGCCGCTCTTGTGCCCCAACACAGTCTTATGCAGCTCCTCACCTGCTATCACCACACTGCCAAAACTTGGCAAATAGAGTAAGAAGGACATCCCAGTCCTACTGACTGGAAATCCCAATTTTCACAAGGTGAAGATTCACAATGTTGCACCCACAACATCAAGGGAAGATAGAATTAGAAAAGCACCACCTGCATCCACAAGCAAGCTTGGCAACACAACAAAGGCTGGCCAGAACCTGATGAAGCCTAAAGTTGCTGACTCTGCAAAGGAATACAAGAAGCCAAAGGCCAAACCTAAGTCTGAGGTTAACCGGTCTAATTCTCATATCCTCTTTAACGTACCTGTGAGCAAGGATAGCTTGCTTGAACAACGGGCCCTATTTGATCAGGAACAGTGGTCCAACCTGTGCAATACATTAGGTCTGAACATTAGTTCAGTGAAATTGTGCAGGCTGTACAGGGGTGTCCACACACCTCAGGGTAGGCCACCCCCATTAAGGGTCACACTGGACTCTGCCGAAGAGGCCGAAAGAGTACTATTAATGGCTCAGGTACTAGCCATCGACAGAAGTTCGAACATAAGAGTGAGACAAGACAGACCATGGGCTATCAGACAAATGGCGATGGAGTCACCGGAACTGATGCCTTTTACCTCTATGGCGGTACACGGTGTTCCGGAGCTGGAAACACATGCATGACGTACAGCAATGGAGATGACTGTCATCTCAGATGGCCCTTGGCGCTTCTGGAGCCATCTCCATTTCCCGACTACCTCACCCCGCTCATCTCACACTGATTATTTCTCCAAAGCTGCTGAGTGTCATATTCAACTCGCCGGAGCAGTTGGCCATGGTACTTCAACGGAAAGTGGGAGGACACATCCGGTGCTGCGAAAGTAGACCTCGAACCATAAGGAGGCAGCAAACTGAGACTTTAATACGTCCCCAAGCTTCAGTGACAACAGAGTGATGCAGTTCTGAGAATAACAGTCTGTGTCACCCAAGTGCCCTGCCTAGATCCATGGAAAAAACCACAACGGGCCGGTTCCACCGGAATCGGCCAACTAGTCCCAACATCAAGTTCATTACCATCAGACAGCTCCACGTCAACTACCCCACAACACGCTGAGGTTGTTAGACTCACTGTCAACTGCCTATATAGCAATGTGAGGGGGCTGAGAGGAAAAATAGGTGAACTCCGAAATCCCCAAGCACACCTACAACTGAAAATGAGCATTCTCACTGAAACGTCGCTAGCTCCCACTATCGCCGATAATGAAATCAGTATAGGTGGTATGGTTTTGGTCAGGAGAGACAGGGATAATAAGGAAGGAGGGGGAGTTGCTTTATATTGTGACAGGCAACTTAAATGTGTGCGAGCAACGGATCCACCACTCATTGAACTCCCAGACTCCATATGGCGTCATTTCACCGTAGGCCACACCAAGCATTTACTGGGTAGCATCTACCCATCTCCCACCTGTGGGGCAGGGCACAATCAGCTACTGCTCAGCACTATCACAGGGGTACGAGACTTGGGCTATGACCAAATCACCATTGCTGGAGATTTCAATGCCCCATCACTGAACCCTGGCTCGGGGTATGCTAAGGGAAAATCTGGCCGATATCTACTGCAAGCTATTCGAAACACGGGACTGACTGAGAATGTTGGAGACGACACTAGGTGGGGCCTAGTGGAAAGTCATCAAAACTAGACTACATTCTAACTAGTGACCAACCACTCGTCGAAAAGGTCCAGATCATGACTCCTCCAGGAAGTAGTGAGCATGCAGTCACAGGTTTCAATCTCGTTCTCCGTGAGAATTTGCAGTGGGACATTACGCGACCATGTCTGTGTTACAACAAGGCCGACTATGCTGAAATGCGGAGGCTCTTTTTCGATGCAGACTGGCCTGTAGCATGGGATTAGCTATCTGTGGATGAACAATGGGAGGTGGTAAAAAAGATTATTCATACAGTAATCTCGGATATCGTCCCTTAAGTCACAACACAGCCCAAAAGAAAGTCATCATGGTTAAAGAGAGGCACGCAGCGTATTCTGCAAGCAAAGCGGAAGGCTTGGTTTACGTGGCTCGTATCTAGGAGTCAGATCGACCACAACACATACCTGGAACTCAGGAACCGGTGCAGTGCAAGAGTCAGGAGGGACAGGAGGTCATTCCAGGCTAACCTTGCTAAAAAACTCCTAGCAAACCCCAAGAACTTGTACCGATTCATGTCGGAAAAAAACCAACCAACCAGGGGCATGCACCTTAGTAGGTTCAAACGATCGAAACCTCGCTAGTCTGGAGATGGCTGAAACATTCAGTTTAGCCTTCACCAAACAGCTAAACAGCAATGTGGGTATTGCCGTTACGGACCAAAATGGTGGCACTACTATTTCACGGGAGGAAGACCTACTGGCTACTCCACAAATAAACCCAGCAATGGTACTAAGGAAGCTACAGTGACTCACACCTGGGAAGTCCCCAGGTTGTGACGACATCAGGCCATCTGTTCTGAAACAGTGCACCGAAGCTCTCTGTAGGCCCTTATGCAACTTGTTCCATTACTCAATGGAATCGGGGAAACTGCCAAGGGAGTTGAAAAGAGCCATCCTTTCTCCGATCTTCAAGGGTGGGGATAGGCAAAATGCCCCTAGTTAAAGACCAGTAGCTCTACTCCCAGTGGTATCAAAAGTACTGGAAGGTATTATTGACGATCACATCAGGGAATATCTCGATAGGTCTAATATACTCCATGAAGCCCAGCACGGTTTCAGGAAAGGCAGATCCTGTGTTACTAACCTACTATCAGCTTGGGACGATTGGACATCATGCTGGGATATGAATGTTCCAGTCAATGTGGTCTTCCTAGACTTTGAGAAGGCATTCGACACTGTTCGCCATGACCTTCTTCTACACAAAATAAGCCAGGCAGGTATAGGTGAGCTAATTCTGTCATGGTTGAAGGGCTACCTAGCTAAAAGGCAATTTTGCACGAAGGTCAATCGAGTCCGATCATCTTAGCACAGCTCGTCGTCAGGAGTGTCGCAGGGTTCTATCCTAGGACCACTGGTGTTCTTGACTTTTATCAATGATCCACCATGCCGTCTAAGCTGCCCGACTCTTCTATACACTGACGAAGTGAAGATATGGAGGGCGATAAAGTGCCCGGAAGACTCAGTCTACAGGAAGACCTAAACCTTCTGGAAGACTGGGCGGTGGCCAGTGGCATGACTTTTAATCTGAAAAAGTGCAAATTAGTGAAGTTACGCACCTGTAGACTGCAGAATGCAAGTTACACCCTGCGCAATAGAAGCTTGTTTAGCACAACGTCGGAGAGCGACTTAGGTTTAGTTCTGACGGAGAAAATGGACACAAGCGTAAATTACACGGGGCATGAAGCGAGGGCATATGCGGTCATACACTTTACACATAGACAGTTAGGTGCTCCTTGAAGTGCACCCCCACTGCTTAGAAGAGACGCCAACCTCTTGGAAAGAGTGCAACGATGGGCAACAAAAGGAGTGGTTGGTCTCCGAAATAAACCATATCATGAAAGGCTGAAGAAATTAGGCCTATTCACACTTAACTACCGTCGTCTTAAGGGGGATATAATTACTTCCTACAAAATAATAAATGATCAGAATCGCCCAAACAAAGGTGTTCTGCCATTGAGTAGGTATAGGCTCCCTCGTGGAAATCCTAGAAGGATTGCTCACCAGAGGGCAAAGACCCGGGTGCGCTCCTACTTCTTTTCACTGCGGATTTGCCGTTTC